AGTTCCTTTATTTTTTTGTCTGTTCTTTAAATTCACTGAATTTTTTAAATCATGTTTCTAATTGTTCTTTTGAGTTCCATGTTGTGCATTATATCTAAGGGGTTTTCATTGTACTCCTCTAGAGAACTATTGTTATTTGGTGGGGATATGTTATTTTGTTTTTTCTGTTATTATTCTTTTCTCTGTGATTTTGACATGTGAATTTCTTTTGCAGTGTCTGATTCTTGTGTGAGACTCAGGCCTTCAAGTTTAGGTCTGCTTCTTTTTGTGAACTTTATGTGTCTTTGTAGTTTACTTTTTGGGCATGAAAGGTTGGTTCGTCTAAGCTTCCTGTTCTCTCTTTTGATTTTATATTGGAGTGGCTGGATTGATTTTGTCTTCAAGAGTTCCCTCAGAGGCCCAATTAGGTGAAGGTCAGATGTTTTCAGGCTTTCTCCTAAGGTCTGAATCCCTCCAGGAACGATTTTGGCTTCAGGAATTTGGTGATTGGACTTGTCTCGGAGCCAGGCCCAGGAAAGATGCTGGTCTAGGGCAGCTGATGGCCATACCACCCAAAGATGCAATGGAAGATGGGGCAGGAAGAGGCCCCAAAGACTCCTGGGGACTGCACTGAGGAGCTGGGTTGGTCTGGATGTAAAGGATCAGGAATAGAAAAGGTCAGCCCCCGCCCCCGTGTCCCAGAAAGAGGCTGGAGAGTGGTGCAGGCCCAGGGAAGCAGAGGGAGGTGAGGGCAGGGCCAGACCCAGAAGCAGTGCTCCTGGGGCTCAGAGAAGGCACTAAGTTGGTCTGGATGAAAAGGATCAGGAAGCAGTATTGGTTCCCCAGGTGTCTGGGGACTCAAGATGGGGAATGGGACAGGATCCAAACTAGGAGAGACTGGTCGGGGGATGGGAGGGTGAATGAGGCTGGGGGAGTCAGGGCTCTGAGGATGGACTTACCCCGGAGAGAGGCCTGTGGGTAGGAGAGAGGCCTGTGGTGGGTGGTCGAGGCCCAGGGAAGCAGAGGGACCTTTCTAGATTTTTATAGCCTACCACTCCTATTCTTTTAGAATCTTCTCATCTGTTCCATTCCTAATTTCACAGCATTTTTGGAGTAGTAACATGTATTTAGTCTTCTCAAAGTGAAGTAATTTTTTCCCACATAGAAATATTCTTTGGTACCTTGATCTCATTGGTTCATGAAATAGTTTATTTAATTGTACAGAATGTTGATTATGTCTCATAAAAAGAAATAGTCACTTGGCAAACAAAAGTAGTTGCTGCATGGGCCAGTAGCATTTCCAAAGGAACAGGTGCATTAGCTAATTAATCCATCAAGATGGTGAAATAGTTCAGTTTTCCCTATGGGGTTGGTGATACATCGCCATAGTAGAAGCTTCCCTAGCATGTTGTAGGCTCTGGGTTTCATCCTCAGCACACATGTGCACCTCCAGTTATAGTCACACTAGTAAACTTGTAAAATAACTAAATAAACAATAAAACCTTTTAGCTGAGTATGGCGGTGCATGTCTTTAATCCTAGCACTGGGGAAGCAGAGGCAGGTGGATCTCTATGAGTTTGAGACTGGCCAGGGCTATATAGTGAAATCTTGGCTCATTAAAAAAAGAAATCCGGGAGCTGGAGAGATGGCTCGGTTAAGAACACTGGTTGTTCTTGCAGAAGACTTGTGTTCGAATCCCAGCACCCACATGGCAGCTAACAACTGTCCGTAACTCCAGTTCCAGGGGATCCGACAGCCTCTTCTGACCTCCGTGGACATTGCATGACACAGGTGCACTTACCTACATGCAGGCAATACACGCATACACATAAAATAAATAAAAATTTAAAACAAAGTCTGTTCTGTATGTTGTAGGATGTTGTCCTCTAAGCATAACAATTACCATCTTTAAAAAAATATTTTCGCTGTTTTTATTTATGTTTATGTGTGTGTACCTCCATGAATTTATGTGCCTATGGAGTTCAGAGGACATTGGATTCCCTGTAAGTGGAGGTACAGTTTTATACTGCCTGATGAAGGTTTTGGGAACTGATCCCAGGTTCTCTGCAACAGCAGTAAGCACTCTTAACTGCTGAGCCATTTCTCTAGCCCCTGCCATTACCATCTTAATCAGAGGAGCTGTGGTAATCTGCAGGAGGCCCTCAAGAGCAGGCTTACTGATCTTCCGTCAGAGGAGAAGGGCCAGGGTCCTTAGACCCTCACCTGAGAGTCCAGCCACTCTTGTACAGCCGGTTTTCCTTGTATAGCTGTAAGTGACCCTTGCTCCTCTAAGTCCAGTAAGCTCATTGGGTCACCAAGCTAGACTTGGGTGGAATTGTTACTTTGGTGTGTCTTTGGTGCCCTGTCTGGGTGAGTAGACATCTGCTCATGGGGCACAAACAGGCACTTTGTGTTTGGTATTTGCATCTAACAGGAGTTAATGAATTTGGTTTTGCATGTTTCCAGTTTTCCTGAATTACCTTCCTTTTGGGAAATTCATGCAGGATTCTTTAGTCCTCAATTAAAAGTGTGGTCTAATTGGCTTTTTCAGGTTATGAACTGACTGGTTTAGCCAGAGGTGGGGAGCAGTTGGCCAAACTAAAGAGGAATTATGCCAAAGCAGTGGAACTACTGGTGGAACTAGCCTCACTGCAGGTAGGTAGCAGCAGGGCCAGAGAACACCTGCAGCTTGGCTTCTGTAGTCAGGTGGAAAGCAGTCAGTGCTTGTGTTGGGGCATGCTCCGCTGTGCCTGTGGGCCTGTGTGAAGTAAGCCCGATAAGGCAATTTCTGAAGTGATGGCTTCTGCATCATTGTTTTTATCTTTTATTAACAAAGCATGTGTGTAGTGATAAACTTTCAGTCTCTGCTGGATGAGAACAGCAATCGTCAGTACTATATTTAAATGCAAATATAACATGGCCCCTGTGTGAAAGTTGTCTTTCTCCTTTTGTAGCTAGTTAATATAGATCTATTGAATGAGTCTTCATGGAAATAACGCTAAATCTCTAGAAAGCTCTTAGGAATTTTCTGTTCATGAGGCAGGCTGAACAGAAGTCAGTTGTCTTTTGGGTTCCCAAATGTTTCTACAACTGCATTCTGACTGGAGCCAAGGAAACAGCATAACTTTGTTCTTACATTATTAATTTATCCTTTTATTTTAGACTTCCTTTGTTACTCTGGATGAAGCTATTAAAGTAACCAACAGGCGTGTAAATGCCATTGAACATGGTGAGTCAAAGCTGCTGTGAGGCACTCTGTTCATTGCCTTGCTCCTCCTGTCCCACTTGTTAGGCAGCTGCTAGGACTTGGGCACAGAACTGCACACTGAAAGAGGAGTAAGGCACAGCCCCGCCCAGCGTGGAGAGAGAAATATGCCCCAATAGTAACAAAGCATGTGGGTGTGTCCTGTGAGAGATATAGAGGAGAGAGGTAAGTTACAGATTGTGTAGTGTCGTATGCATTTCTCGTCATTCATGCAGTTAATAGAGTAGAAATCTGTTCCTAAGAGCCTTAGTGTTTTCTTTTGTTCCTTCTATCAGTCGAGTAATAGATCTTTTAAAATGTATTACTTTAAAATAGTTCTCCTTGGCTGGGCATGGTGACGCCTTTAATCCCAGCATTTGGGAGACAGAGACAGGCGTATCTCTGAGTTCAAGGCCAGCCTGGTCTACATAGTGAGTTCCAGGACAGCTGGGGCTACAGGGCGACCCTGTCTCAAAAAGACCAAAAAAAAAAAAAAAAAAATTATATATTTCTCCTTATGCCCATTCTTGATTTCAAAGAGTAAACTGTCTCACTTTGCTGTTTATTTTCTTTCTTTCATTTTAAAACATGATTATGTAGTGTTAAGAATGTTTTAAGAGATTCAGTTACCATTAAAGAAATGTTTATTCAGTTTTAAGGTAAGAAAGGAGCAAACATTGAAGAAATCCCTTTGATTGGCTCTCTACTAGTTTCTCATATTTGAGGTGCATTAGTGCATTATACCACTGAGCTATGCTCCTGTCCCAGAAACACATTTCTTGACTGCTTTCTGGAATCAATCTTTATTTCATGAAATTGCAATCAAAACAGTGGATTAATAGTTCTCAACTTCAGGGAGTTCCCATTCTAAAAGTAGAGTAGGTAGACTAACTATAAAGCAGAACCCAGACACACACAGACCTTCAAGTTCTCTCTGCTCATTTTCTTTTTAATTTTTTAATAACTACACGATTAGAAGAACATTTCATTACAGCTTTAACGTATTCAGTAACACACTTCAGAACAAGAGTACATCTCTTTCACAAGTGGCTGTAAGTTTCTAGGTTCACAGTTGAGTTAATACAGTTATACAAACAATATTGAACTCAGTATAAGCCCTGTAAGACATAAAATTGGATGAGTTTTTAACCTTTAAAAAAGATCCCCATTTCATTTTAGAATATAGTGTTCCTTGCAGAAAGACTCATTGCTTTTGCTACTAACACAGAGATGTTGGTGCATGCATCTCTAATCTGTATGTATCTGATTATTACTAGTCATAATCGGTTGCACTTGGATCCTTGGTGCCTGTGCATGTCTATAAAGTCATCGGGTAGATTTCAATGTTGTTTATCACCTGTACTAATTAACATGATGTAAATTTCCATGCTTCCTCCTAAAATATATTTTTTAAAATTTGA